GCCTCGGCCTCCCAGAGTGCTAGGATTACAGGCGTGAGCCACCGCGCGTGGCCGGTAGAAGGCTTTCTTAGTGCAGTTGTTGGAAGCCCTGGTGAATCTTGTTATCAAATGCCCTACAAAAGCTGGAACACTTCAGGGGATTAATTCTTCAGACAAGGAGCTAATGGATCTGTGGTCCTTTGGGACTCGTCAAAGGCATGGTTTAGCATTTTGTCAGTTTTATTTTCAGAAATTCTCCACAATTAAGAAGATAATTTATTAAAGGTAGTCTTTTCTACTTCTGTGGTGTGTGTCACACATACTCCTTAGAAGTGCTAGAAAAAACGAAAGAACTCCAAATTGAATGACCTTTATAATTTTCCTATTGATATACTAGTTGTGGAAACAGTTCCATTCCGAGGAGAACACCTTGCATGCTTATCAGTTTAAAAAGAGAGTATGTTATAGTGACAAATAAAAGCACAGTTTAAACCCTCCCTCAAATAAATAAAAATCAGGTGACTGAATAATCTATTTGAGTATAACAAAAGTAACTTGCTATTTCTGTTTATGGCCCCTAGATGGATCTCTGTAGCAGAGGCCTCAACCTCTGTATTGCAGGCCTCAACACCTGCTTTGCTAAGTTCTGTTCTCTGTATTTCCCTTCAGATCATGTAGCATAACTTTTCTCTTTTTATGGGTATGCTGCAAACAGAAGTAATAATTTCTTCTTAAATAAGGAAGAGTTATTACATTAAACTAAAAAGAATACTTGTTATACTGTGAATGCTGTTCACAACAAACAAATATACGTGGTTATTGAGCTCTTAAAATGTGGTAAGTACAACTTCAGAACTGAATTTTTTATCCTATTTAATTTTAATTAGTTTAAAGTTAAACTAATAGTTCAATTATTGGAAAACTTTTAAGTATGTTTGGAATAATTTGGGCATGTGAGTCGACTTTTACAACTGCAGGTTTCATGAAATCAAAATATATTTCAAATATTTCTGATGAAAATTTAGCATCCAAGTTGAGATGTGTTGTAAGTATTAAATACACACTGGGTTTTAAAGACTTCGTGTGAAAAAAGAATGGAAATGACTCAATCTTTAATATTGATTACATGTTGAAATTATAATATTTTGGATATATTGGATTAAATAAAATATATTCAAATTAATTTCACCTATTTCTTTTATTTCTTTAATGTGGCTGCTTGAAAATTTATAATGAACATATGTTGCTTGCACATTATATATTTTTTTCTTTTTCTTTTTTTTTTTAATTCAAGTCAAACAGGTTATAGAACACATTAGATATTTCTATATGGTCCTGAGTGTAGCCAAGACAGGGACTTAAGAAGCTGTTGCTCTTTTGAGATGGCATGAATCTACACTTCCTGATGTCAGTACTTCCTGCCAGTTTATTTATTTTGGTTAGTTTTATAATTTCTCCAGAGCTGGCATATTGTCACTCAAAATTAGCCGGGCATGGTGGCGCATGCCTGTGGTCCCAGCTGCTCGGGAGGCTGAGGCAGGAGGATTGCTTGAGCCCAGAAGTTTGAGGTTGCTGTGAGCTAGGCTGACGCCACGGCACTCTAGCTTGGGCAACAGAGTGAGACTCTGTTTCAAAAAAAACAAAACAAAACTGCTGGGCTTAAGTGATCCTCCTGCCTCAACCTCCGGAGTAGCTGGTACTACAGGCATGTGCCACCACAACCAGCTGATTTTTCTGTTTTTTGTGGAAATGGGGTTTCTCAGGCTGGTCTCCAACACCTGGCCTCAGTGGTCCTCCCACCTTAGCCTCCCAAAGTACTAGGATTACAGGTGTACTTTGAAGCTCTGGTATTAGATATATAAACATTTAGGATTAAGTGGTATTTAATAAGATTTAAATGATATTTTAAAAATAAAAAATTCTTATATTTCCTCACATATTTATCATTTTCAGTACTCTTCATTCCTTTATGTTGATTAAGATTTCCCCTTAGTATCATCAAATGTATATGTGATACATTCTTTAATTTATGTTTGAATAAGTCTACTTACATTTTCAAAGATACATTTGCTGGGTAAAGAAGTCTAGTTTAGCTTAACGTTTCAAAAATTTTTGTACTTGAAAGACATTGGTTGACTGTCTTTTGGCTTTCATTGTTTTTTGTTTTTTGTTTTTTTTTTGAGACAGAGTCTCACTCTGTTGCCCTGGCCAGAGTGAGTGCCGTGGCGTTAGCCTAGCTCACAGCAACCT